TGGGCATGAAGGGCTTCAAGGGACAGCTGAGCCGGCAGGTGGCTGATCAGGTAAGCAAGACTGGATCCCTAGCAGGTGGAAAAGTATGCCTAGGCAGGCCGCAAGTTCTGAAGTTGTGTTGAAGCTCACCCCATGTTGTCTTACCCCATAGAACTATGTAGAAATCCAATGGAAAATAAGCAACGGGGACTATAGTCTAGGGTCTCACAATCCCAACCCACCCCACTTCTGTCTTCCTTACTTCAGATGTGGCAGGCAGGGAAGAGACAAGCCTCCAGGGCCTTCAGCTTGTACGCCAACATCGACATCCTGAGACCCTACTTTGATGTGGAGCCTGCCCAGGTGCGAAGCAGGTGAGGATCCTTCTCCTAACACCTAATCCTTCATCCAAACCACAACCAGATACCAAGCCCTTAGGCTCCCCTCTTCATGGCCCCACCAGCCCTCATCATTGCACCTGTACCCCAGCTACACTGTATGTCTTACCAGTCACAGAACAGGACATGGTGATAACACATTGCCTTCCTCCTCTTCCTTGTGTAGCAAACTACTCTTCTTCTCTCAACACCTAGCTCAGATGTCACCTCTGTCCCCCATTCCTCAACCCCATTCCCAGTTTGTCCTCTCCTGGTGTTCCTACAGAACTCTGTGCTTTCCTCTAACAGGTGACACTTGGGCGATGCTGATTCCGGGTCAGTCTCCCCAGAGACCTCAGAAACAAGCTCAGTTTTATTTTATTTATTTTTTTTATTCCCACCACCAGAACAGTCTCTGAACCACAATATCAGCACATAGTTTTGAATGACTTTTCAAGAAGTGGATCTAATTTTGGTTTGGATCTTTTGTTCATCCTTTAAGCAATATTTATCAAATACCCAGTACCACTTAGCAGCCATTTATTAAGCATTTGCTTTGTGCTGGGCCCTGTAATACTTAGGTCTCATTGAAGACAGAGGGTGAAGATAGCTGGGAGCCTTACCTTCGAGTGCAGTTACAATAGAGCATTTATTTGCTCTGATGGAACACACAGAAGGGACACCTGACCCAGAGTAGGTAGAGGGTGGGACAGGATAGGTTTTCCAAAGGAAGTAAAATGAAGCCACAATCCAAGGTATTATTAAAAGTTGGCCACCTAAGAAGTGGGCAGAAGTGACTTGTACTTTTATTCCTTCTGTGTGGAGTTTTCATACCAGTTCACATGTACTTTCCGAGACGATGTTCAGTGGTGCCTGGAGAAATTGGTAAGCAGGAAGATGCAGGAGACACACTGGTTCCCTCCAGTAAACCTTTCCCTCTAAACCTCTCCCAGGGCTTCATCATCACAGCCCTGAATTCTTGGCATTCTCTGCTGAGGTTTGCCTGTCTTTAAAGGGGAGCAGGTCAAATAGGTAAATCGCTAAGCCCTCTCACAAGGCCCAGGTGGGCTTTCTGAGTTCTCCATATTGCTTCTGCATGTTAGCACAGTATCCAAAGGATGTCCTTCCTGGGAGCATTTTTAGGGACAAGGAAGTTATTTTCTCATTCCTTGTCTGTCTATACTACCCTCTTTTCCCTTTGCCATCTAGCATGTTCTCTGGAGTTAGAGATGTAATAAGATTCAGGCCCTCCAGAACTTCATAGCCTAGGGCTACTCATCTCTCCTCTCCCCTCTTCTCCCAGGCTCCTGGAGTCCATGATCCCTATCAAGATGGTCAACTTCCCCCAGGTGAATACCCAAGGTAGCATGTCTGGAAGAGCTGGGGGAGGCACGAGGGCAGAGGGTGGGGCCACCAGGCAAAGCCAAGGAAGACATAAACAGAAGAGCCATTGTACCCTCCAGCCTGAATGAGTTGGTATATTGACAGAAAATCGCAGGTGAACTCTATGGACCTCTCATGCTGGTCTTCACGCTGGTTGCCATCCTCCTCCATGGGATGAAGACATCTGACACCATTATTGTAAGCAGGACAAAGGACTTTGGGGGGTGGCTGAACTAAGTTGAAAGCTGCCCACGATGGAGTGAGGTAGAAGCAGCCCCTGAGGAAAGCCCTAGGTGAGGCTGAGTCCAGAGGCCTCCCAGGACTAAGCAGAGCCTTCACCCCACAGCGGGAGGGCACCCTGATGGGTACAGCCATTGGCACCTGCTTCGGCTACTGGCTGGGTGTCTCGTCTTTCATTTACTTCCTCGCCTACCTGTGCAACGCCCAGATCACCATGCTCCAGATGCTGGCATTGCTGGTAAGGAGTCCAGCATGGTGGTGGGCAAGGGTGGTCTTAAAAAGAGCAGCCAGGCCTTGCTCTGCATCTGTCCTAGGGCCCCAGGGCCTGGAATGGGATGAGCTGGCCAGTGGATCATTTATTTCTCAGAGTCTCCATGAGAGCTCAGAGGCCAGCCCGGCCTGAGTGATTTTCCTCCCCACCATTTTCTTTCCTAGGGCTATGGCCTCTTTGGGCACTGCATTGTCCTGTTCATCACCTATAACATCCACCTCCATGCCCTCTTCTACCTCTTCTGGTTGCTGGTGGGTGGACTGTCTACTCTACGCATGGTAAGCTGGGCAAGAGGTTGCCAAGGGTGGGCTAACCTCCCAGGGAGTTAGGGAAAACCGCCCAGACCTTGGGCTGAACCCCACAAAGGGCTCCAAATGGCTAAGAGCCCAAAAGTGGTTCCGCTCTGTGTAGGAGTGTCTTCTCCACACTGCTCACTTTGGAGCTAGGCCCTCTGAGCTGTATTCCTGTGGCCCTAGGTGGCAGTGTTGGTGTCACGGACTGTGGGCCCCACACAGCGGCTGCTCCTCTGTGGCACCCTGGCCGCCCTACACATGCTTTTCCTGCTCTATCTGCATTTTGCCTACCACAAGGTGGTAGAGGGTAAGTGACAGGAGGGCCTGAATGTGGGGGAAGGGAACAGCTTCCTCGGGCAGGGTCGAGCCAACTCTCACCTTCCATTCTCCTCCTTTCAGGGATCCTGGACACGCTGGAGGGCCCCAACATCCCGCCTATGCAGAGGGTCCCCAGAGACATCCCTGCCGCGCTCCCTGCTGCTAGGCTTCCTGCCACCGTGCTCAATGCCACAGCCAAGGCTGTTATGGTGACCCTGCAGTCACACTGACCCCACCTGAAACCCTTGGCCGGCCCCCTCTCCCCCCATCTTTGGAGCAGAGGAAGATTAAAGAACAGTATTGATGACATGTGTCTTTTTGATGGGGTCTGCAGCTGCCTCAGAGCTGTAGCCACTTAAGCAACTCCCTGATGCCTCTTGGGGCTTCTGAAGGGCACAAGGCCAGGAACCCCTGGCCAGGACTGCAGGGCTCTGCAGCCAGTGCAGAAAGTGGGTCAGCTCCTCTGAGGCCCTCTCTCCACCTACTCCTTCCTTCCTCTTTAACTCTCCCACGGTGTCTTGCTAAATATAGACTTGGTAATTAAAATATTGATTGAAGTTTGGAACTGCGGCTGCCATTCCAGTGGTCCTCCCTGCCACCCTACTTCCTATACACTTTGCTGTTTTTCTGTCACTGGTGGTAATGGCACGTGTTCTCTCTTTTATACCCTCATCCAGGCAGGATGATGGTGGGACAGCCCAGACTACATTGAAAGCAGTGACTGAACCTGGAACCTGCCCCTGAGGGCAGGGGACACCTGACCCATGGAGCAGCAGGGAGGCCTCAGACACAGGAACCATTAAGTCTGATGGAGGAGTGCACCCAGCTTGAGTGGGCTCAGCCTCGCTCGGGACACCAGTGGAGCAGTGACAATTGGTCAAAAACTTCAATTCAACTCCATGTAATTACAAGGTTCTTATGTATCTGGCCCATTGCCTAGGGATAATTTTCCTGTGGGAGCTCACATTTGAAGCCAAACTTGGCTTTGTGCTGGTTATACTGGGGCCAGAGGAACAAAGCCATCGGTTTCTTCTGTCCTTTTCAGGAGTGCTATTCGTTCCTAAAAACAACCAGCACCCCAAGCATAGCACCATCCACCCCACCATCCATTTAATCGGCTCTACTTAACGAGTTAAATCAGGTGGTTAATGAAATAGAATTGTCGACCTCCCTTCACTATGCTTATGTTTTTTGTTTTTTGTTTTTTTTACCTTTACCCGAGTTAATCTGGGTCAGCATCTTTCCCTCCTAGTAAAAGGCAAGAAAGATGTGCCCTTCATTTGCCCTATGTGGCCCTACGTTGGGGGCACTTTGTCCACTTGGTGATGGTGTGGATCAGGTAACATGGGGCCTCAGGTAACTCAGGTGACATGCCCTTATGTGGACAGAGTGCGAACAGAACAGCACTGTGCACCCTCTGCAGTGTACTCTTCCTGAAAGTTCCAGCCCACTTAACAGTTGTCACCACTCCAGGTCGCCGAATCTAGCACGCCCTTTAATTGGGCTACCCCAATGTCACAGGTACGGAGAGGCTCGGTCACTGACGTCAGCATCTGGGGAAGGGGTGGCACCAGCACCCTGCACCTACTTGAGGCTTACCTGGCCCAGGGACCCTTCAGGGTGCCCGTGTGCCTGGCAGCTACGACCACCTCTGCCCGTGGCCCCCCGAGGCCTCCGCTGCGGGGCAGCCATCTTGGCGAGGGGCGAGGGGAAGTGCTCACCTGCCGCCCCGCCCCTCCTCAGCGTGCGCGGCGCCGCTCGTCAAGGAGGGCGGGCGAGGCCCGGATTACGGGGTCGTGGGGGCCTCCAAACTGGATGGGAGGGCGTGCACAAGATGCAGGCGAAGACACCGAGGGTCTGGCCCTTAGGGAGAAGGAACGACGGCGGAATGGGCAGAAGCAGCTGGTAACAGTCCCAAATGCCACCTCCACGTGACGTGACTGCCTTCTCCCTGCCACACCCCCTGCTCCTCCCAGGCCTCAACTCTACTACCTACTTTCCGAGCGGTGTTCGGGCCCACGCCCAGGGGAAGGGCGGCCCCACCGCTCCAGAGCTCCCGGTGTGCGCAAACCCTGGGCCGCGTGGCCTAGGCCGGGCAGGGGGCGGGGCGAGCGGCGGTGACGCGACCGTTGCCATGGGAACCCACCGCCCGCTCAGGCGCAGGAGCCGCAGCCCCAGCCGGTGCTGCCGCCCGCCGCCGGCTGCCCGCTGCCCGCCCGCCCGCTTCGGGCTCTCCCAGCGGGGCGGTAGGGGAGCCGGGCTGCAGGAAGGAAGAGAGCAGATGCGGCCTCCGAGCCGAAGTGGGTCCCGCATGACCTGAACCGAGGCCCCTAAGCCGCCGCAGCGACCGCGAGGAACGAGGACAAGCGCGAAGCAGCGCCCGCCTGGCCCCGGACCGCGCGCTCCGGCCCGTCTCCCAGACACGGACGGCACGGTCCGCCCCGACCCCAGCGCCGCGCGGTCTCAGCCCAGCCGGCGACCTCAGAGCCTCCGCAACCTCCGCGGGCCCCGAAGCTCTTTGCCTTCGCCTTCGCCGCCGCCGCAGCCGCCGCCCCCGCCCCCGCCGCAGCCGCCGCAGCCGCCTGCACCTCTGCCACCGCCTCTGCCCCCGCTCCGTCCGCGACCCAAGCCCAGGCCCCGACCCCAGCCGCGACCCCGCCCTCGGCCCCGCCAACCTCGGCCGCGGCCCGCGCCCCGGCCCCGGAGGCCCAGCCGTGGGTACGATGCTGCCCAGCTCCATCCAGATTTCGGGGGAACCGCTGTCAGGCGCCGAGGTGCGGGACATCTGCCGCGGCCTGCGCGACAACGCCGTGCGCCTGCTCTCACTGCGCGGCTGCCGCCTCTGCGACCGCGACTTCGGCCGCATCTGCCGGGCCCTGGCCGGGGCCACGTCCCTGGCGCAGCTCAACCTTAACCTAGGCGTCGTGTCCAGTCCCAGCCGCATCAAGCAGCTGGCAGAGGCGCTGCGGACCAACCGCTCCATCCAGTCCCTCTTGTGAGTGCGCTCCCTCGCAAGGGGGTCCCGGGCACTGCATCCCTCTTCACACGCCCCCTGCCACCGCCTGTTCCTCCACACACCTTCCTGTAGCTATCTCTGCACCAGCCTGTCTTCTCACCCCTGTACACCATCTCCCCATCCCTCTGCCCATGCCTCCACGACCCCCTCCTAGCACATCCCTTACCTCCGGGCTTTGCACCCGCAGCCCCACCCCAAATGCGATGGGATACCCACCCCTTTCTGGCAGGGCACGTGTACCTCCCCACCTAATCACCGGCCTTGACTTCTTGGGAGCAGCTCCTCAGGTCTCAAGAAGGAACTCTCCTGGGGATTAGACCCCTGCCCCTACATTTGCCCACTGAAGAATCCCAACCCACCAACCCACCACACTCCTCTGTGCTCTGTCCTGGATCTCAATCCCTAACCTAGAAAAGAAGCCAAATTCCCCTTCTACCTGTATTCCTTTAGAATCTAGAATTTTCTTTCTCCCTCCCCAGGGCCTCTCCCAAGTGCTATCACAGGTATCCTTCTCACCTTTAGGGCTCACATAAGGGAAGGGGATCCTTCCCTTACAGATAGGGCTGATGACTGCAGTGACCTTTGCTCTCTGGTCTCACCCCCTCAGCCTACATGGGAGTCCCCTGACAGATGCAGGGCTGGCCTTGCTGAACCCAGCCCTGGCCCTCCACCCTGCCCTTGTGGCTCTGGACCTGGGGGACTGCATGCTGGGTGATGAAGCCATCAACCTCATCTGTGGCCTCCTCCCCCCAGATGGAGCCAAGTCAGGTGAGAGAGAGGCCCTGCTGAGGGCATGGGCTGGTATGGCCTTGATGAAAAAACCAGGTGCAGAGAGCAGGGGGTGTGGTCCAAAGCTGAGGGCTCTGAATGTGGGTGAGAATGTGTTTTAAATCCTCTCAGGAAGGAGATGGATTGGGGCCTCAGCAGAACAGAGACTCAGGCATCCAGGCTGCAGTGGACAAGGAAGGCATGTGTCTCTAATGGCCCTGGAGCTCTGTGGTGGGGGTAGGGTGGCTCTCTGCCACCAGGGAAACCCCAGAGATCCAGGGCAGGGGAGGGGCTTAAAGAGGAACAGACTCCATCCTGGTTTCTCCCTTCGATTCTGCCCAGGCTTGAAGGAGCTAACGCTGAGTGCCAACCCTGGCATCACCCCTAAGGGCTGGAGCCGCCTCGCGATTGCTGTGGCCCACAGCTCCCAGGTCCGCGTCCTCAATCTGGACTACAACCCCCTGGGTGAGGCTCAAGGAAGCCCCGTGCGAGTCTCACCACCCCATCCCCATCCAAGAGCTCCAGTTCAGGACCCTTTGGTTGTCATGGTAACCCCACCACGGTGGGGGGGGGGAAGGAAGGGGGATCTGGAAGATAGCAGAGAAGCCTCTTATGTGGAGGACCAAATGACCAACAGGTGCATCAAAGTATCCATCACCACCCCTGGGCCTGGCTTGCTTCATCGGTTCACTGGCCACAGTGCCCCCCTATTGGCCACCTACCAACTGTCAGCATTTGCTGGCACGGGGGTGGGATCTAGGGTTGTTAGGACACTGGGGAGGCAGTGGGGAGGAAGGGTTAGCAGGCCCGCTCACGACTGCAGGTGACTGTGCATGTGTGCTGCCTCCCCAGGTGACCATGTGGCAGGGATGCTGGCTGTAGCTGTGGCCTCCAGCCGCACCTTAGAAGTCCTAGACTTGGAGGGCACAGGGCTCACCAACCAGTCAGCTCAGGTGAGAAGTTTTCATGTCTGGGTATGGGCTAGAGGTGGGGGTGCAGGGGAGCTCACGTGTCTGTGGATATACTGAAGGGGTGGCAGGCTGGAGTGTGAAGCCGCCTTAACTGTGTTCCTCCTCTTCCGCATTCTTCCCCCACCTCAGACCCTGCTGGACATGGTAGAAAATTACCCCACGGCTTTGCGGAGCCTGGTGTTGGCTGAGAACAGCATTAGCCCAGAGCTGCAGCAACAGATCTGTGACCTCCTCTCAGAGGGAGAGGAGGAGGAGGAGGTGGCGGGAGGGGCTGGCGACACCCAGGAACGAGAGAGAGGGCGGGAGCCTGCTGCCCACCAGAGGAGCAGCAGCTCCTGGATGTGCCCTAGTGGTAAGAGCCCCAAGGGTTGATCAGAGCCAGATCTGGAAGAGGCCCGGGACCAGGGAGAGTGGGTGTGGGAAACCTAGGCTGTCTCTCACCAGATTTGTGTCCCTGGTGGAACGAATGGCGGTCTGAACACCCCTCTGCCCTTCCACAGATCCCAGCTCTCAGATGGTGCTCATGACTTCAGGACTCGGTGACAGTCTGTTGGCTGAGACCGAGATGTGACTCTCCACTTGGGCTTCTGCACATCATTACATTTTGTCTATGTCCCCAGCACCTTGTCCCAAATATCAGGGTCAGGCCCTGGGGCCTGGGAGGGAGGGAGGGTGGGGGGTGGCTGGGGCTCTGGTAGCTCCCGGCAGTGGTGGGAAGCTCTGGAAGCTGACTGAGCAACAGCCTCGGGGGCACTTGAACCCAAGGCAACGCCTCTGGACTTGTTGGCAGCTCTGGCTGCAACCCGCTGGCTCGGAAGAGATTTTATTAACTCTACAACCTGGTGTGTGGCTGTGGTCCCTGGGGGGCTGGCAGTAGGGGAGGAATTGGAACTATTAGACACTAGGGGGCAGTGCCACCCCACAGCCCAAGTTCCAGGCAGCATCCACTGGCCCCAAATATCTAACAGGTCAGGCTCAGGTCTCGGACTTCTAGGACCTGGGGTCCTGGGGCGACACCTTACACAGGCCCCCCCCCCCCCGTAAGAATCGTAACTGAGGTAAAGAGCCCGCCTCCACAGGTGGGCTGGACCCTACCTACCTCAAGGGGAGACTCAGGGGCCCTGCCAAGGTCACTTGAGGTGCACCTTCTCTCACTGCCTGACGCTCTGTGGCCACGGACATCCCAAGCAGAGAAGGGCAGGGGAGACTCACTAGCAAAGAGCAGAATTTGACTAGAACTGGGAAGGCTCAAGAATGGCACCAGGAAAATCATTAAGAGACAAATTGGGCCATATCAGTAAAATAGTTTTAATTTTAAAATAGTCATCGATGTGAAAACTTCCCAAAGCTGGGAGTAACAGTCTAGAGCCAAGGTCGGGAGGGGGCCAGGCCTCACCTAGAGCCCAGCTTGAGGCCCCTGAATCCCTCCCTCTCCTCCCTTCCAGAGGGAGGATGGACACAGCTGAGGCGAGCCCTGAGTGAGTCCTCTCCCTCATCCCCCAAGGGCCCCTTGAAGGCAACAGCTCGCGCAGAGGACTTGAGGGGAGAGGAAAACAGGCAGAAAATAGAAATTAGAGGTTAATCGTCCCCGACGATGTCCCCCTCCCGACCCTGGGGGGGGGGAGGGGGGAACCACAAAAAATAAAACTTGCGCGTATGAAAGGGGGATGGAAGATGAACACTGATACGATAGACCCCTCCGCGGCCCAGAACAGCCCAACTTGGGCCCCAGCTGCATGTTACCCTTGGGGAATAAATATTCCAAGAAAAGGGAAAAGCCATGAGACAAGCTGGTGCCAGTCACAGGCAGCGCAGCTACAAGGCCTGGCGTGGCCCACCTGACACCACTGCACAGGGAGCAGAGCAGCAGGGGCAGGAGGGCGACCGGGGGGGGGCGCTAGTTGAGCAGGTTGCCCTGCTCTTGGGCCTGGGTCAGGCTGTCCTTGCGGTGAAGGTGGTGCACCCCCATCCTCTTGGGGCTGCGCTGGGGACGGCTGGAGCTGGGGAGTGCCCAGGCCTTGCCGTCAGTGTGGGAAGTGACAGGCCCCTGATCTGTGCCATTATCACCGGGCAGCAGACTCTGGCGTTCTTCCTCAGGGCTGATGGGCAGGTTCAGCTCTTCTTCCTCCTCCCTGGGAAGGCCAGAATCAGCTTCTGTGGGCAGCAAAAGCCCACTCTCACCAGGTGGGGAAGAAGACGCCAGAACCTCCTCATCTCTGTCAGCGGGGCTAAGAGCAAAGTGGCGCTGCAGGTCAGGGAGGGCATCACGTCCAAAGGCTGTGCGCTGGGCCACGGCGGCTGGGGGTGGAGTGCGGTCCACAAATGCTCGCTGCCAGCTGGCTAGCAGGTCCTCCTCAGAGCTGGCAGAGCTGGCCGGGGCACTGAGTGCTGGGGGGACAGGGCTGGGCTCGTGGCGGGGGGAGGTCTGGGCTGAGGCAGGGCTGCTGGGCACTGGGCTGGGGCGGGCCCGCTCACTGCCCTCCTCCACCAGGCTCAAGGAAATGGCCTGGCGGGTGGCGTAAGTGCAGTTGGGCAGGGGGCTGTTGCGGGGGATTCGCACCTTATCCTCAGAGAACTCGATTACCTTGCGGCCAGGATACAGTGGGTGTGGTGGAGATGGGGTGGGGTAGGGGCTCAGCTTCTCAAAGGCTGGCAGGGGCAACTCCTCCTCTGGGGAGCCCCCAGCAGTGCCCAGGGAGCGGCATTCCCCATTGGGTTGTGAGGTGGGGCTACCAGGGGCTGGGGGACTGGCTGGGTCACCCGGGCCCCCCCCACTCATGTCCACGTGCACAAAGACATCCTCGGCCAAGGGGCGCCCGGCACTGCCTGACTGGGCCGAGTTGAGCAGTAGAGACTCTGGCTTCTCTAACACCCGGGCAATGACTGAGGTAGGTACCACAGCCCCTGGCATCAGGCTAGGGGCGGGGCCCGGGCTGGCAGCCTCTTGACCACTGTGCAGATGTTTCTGAACCATGTCCTGTAGCTCACAGGGCAGCTGGGGAAAAAGAGTGGGAGAAGGGAAGAGAGACATGAACGATCCCAACCTCAGAGCAAAAATAACGACCGGCACGTACAAATACCACTGCGCGCTCAGCACTGTGATCTTCCGGCCCCCCGGCATGCCAGGCTATAGCTTCATTTCACAAATAAACTGAGGCTCCGCAGGGGTGAAGTAACTTGCAGCTTTTGATGAACACAGCCAGCATCTGATCCCAGAACTGGTGCTAAGGCCCACATGCCCTCAAACGTCCATCTCCCTGCATCTCAGCAGTGGCTTCTGCCCAAACCAGACAAGTTTGAGGACCTGTACTGGCCAGCAGCCTCATGAGTCCCTCCACTCCTTCTACAGACCCTATCAACCTTAGGCCTGAAGCTCTGGAGTCTAGAGCTTGCCCCTTGGGGTAAAGGGATCGGCTGGGCCTCATCCTCTCTCAATATTCTTATGACTGATACCCTGGCCAACCCCACCTTCCCGCATGGGATCCCAAAATTGAGTGCCTCTCTCCCTGCCTCTGTTCCAGAAATACCAGCAGGGCCAGCCCCCAGTCCCAGTAACTATCTCTTGACAGCACACGGAACACCGACCAGTGGCAGAGTTGACTGGCTTGAGAGGAGCCATGCAGACGAGGGCAGGGCAAAGCAGAAAGGAGGAGTCAAGGCAGGAGGATAGAGGGAGGTGTGAAAACTCAAGTCAGAGGAGTCCTGAGAAGGCAGGACTAGCGCTGGCAGGGGGGTGGGGGGGGGTTCTGCTCACATCGGCGAACTTGTGGTTGCGGAAGTGGGACTTGTTGCACTTGAGGAGCTGCACAGCCAGGTTGCAGTCCAGCCGGTACCGCTCCTACAGGTACAGGCAAGGGTCAGAGGCCGGCCCCGCCCCAGGCAAGCAGGGCCTAGGCCAGGGCAAAGCCAGGGACACGGGAGGGGTCCCCCCCCCCCGCCATACATTGAGCTCCTCCAGCTTGTTGATGGTGTTCTTGGCGTCCAGCAGCTTGTTGGTCAGCTCCACGATCTCCCAGTCCAGCGTCTTCCTGTCCATCTCCGCTTTCTTGATCTGAGGCACAAAACGTGTGTGAACCCCGCCCTCACCCCAGCCGGCCTTCCTCCCCTCCACTTCCTCCCGGCCCAGAGACACAGGAAGCCACAGGTGCTGGGGCAGCCAAGGCGGACGAAGTAGACAGACAATGGACAGACAGAAGAAGACCAGCCACCTCTCCTGTTCTCCGGGCTGGCTGTGGGGAAGGGGCTTTCTGGATATAACCTGCTGCCACCTGGGCCCAGGACAGAGGCAAGAGCTGCCCCTCAAGGGGCTCTACACAGGAGGCAAAGCAGCTGGACTAGAGAAGTAAGTGTGCAAACCCAGGGACTGAAGCCTACGTGTGGAGCTGCTTCCAGGCTCAGGCCAGGAAGAGGGAGGGGTGGGGCTGGGAGGCAGCTGGGGGCGCCTGTGAGATTATCTAGTTGAGCCAGGAGGGAGCGGCAGGCTCAGCAGCGGCCTTCTGATCTTCAGTTCAGGGACTGGCTCTACAGCCCCCCCTCCCCCCTCAATGGCTTGGGCTTGTTGCCACTGCAGCGGAGAAGCTGTGAGTGTTCAGTGGTGACATCAACCGGTTCCTCTGCCAGAGCCAAGGAGGGAGGCACTGTACCGAATGGGCCTCACGTAAGGAAGAGGAAAGCAGTGGGCAGAGGGACAGGGAAGGGGCCCCGGCAACCCCAGAGCTCATCTGAGGAGAAGGCCAGGGCAAGGGAGAAAACACACAAACTCAGACGCAACTGCAAAGATCCAGCTGTGGCTAAGAGAGGCCTGACAGGAGAGGGCGGCGGCGGCGGCGGCAGCATGAGGGGAAGACGGGAGAGAAGAGAAACAGTATGAGCACTAAGACAGTCCTGACGCGCACAGCACACTGCGGTCCCCTCCCCGCCGCCGTCCCAACCCCTTCCCCAAGCCCCAGTGGCATTCCCCCAGCAAGTCCCAGCCCCCTGCTCTGCTATGAGCACAGTGCCAGCGAAACCGCACCCCCAACCCCGGACAGATTACCAGTGTGTGCAGCTTGTCCTCCAGCTCCTGGTTGGTCCTCTGGGAAGCCGTGTAGCTGTTCTGAAGCCTGTGGAGGAACACGAGGCAGACCCCTGGGTCAAGATCTGCTCTTCAGACCCTGCTCGCTCAGCCCCTCCTTGATAGGGGATCTTGGGCAGGCTGTTCTCCCCGAACCGCAGTTTCCCCATCAGAATCAGATGATCTCAGAGGCCTCTTCCAGCTAAAATCCTATGAATGGTGGGGGCTGCATGCAGGTGTGTCCAGGCCCCTCCTTTCCACACCTGCGGAACTTGTCCTTAAATTTGTCCAGCTCCTCGCGGCTCTGGCCCAGCTCCAGCTCCAAGCAGTCCTGCCCGATCTCCAGCTCGCGCTCCAGGGCCTCCGTGCGCCTGGTGGCTGAGGCCAGGCGCCGGCGGAGCTCCTCGTTCTCCTGCTGCAACAGCCTGGCGGGGTGAGGGGGCAAGGGCAGAGGAGCATCAGAGGTAGACAGACCAGCCCTGGAACCCCAGCCTGGACTCAGGAAGGAAGGAGTAAGGATGACATGAACACAGGCAACTGGGGACAGGGGACTCCTTGAGACTGAGCCTCAGTCTGGGGCAGCATATTCCATAGGCCTGCTGGCCCTGAGAACACAGCCTGGCTTGGGGGCAGGGGCGGGAAGCAGAGGGGATGGTAGAATCCACTCCCACCCGGAAGAAGAATGAGAAGACAGAATTGGTGTGAGGCGTGAAAGTTCCCAGTCTGTCTCTGGTTACAGCCCAAGCCAGCCGGCCACCAAGCCCTCCAGCTCCAGTTTCCCCACT